CATATTTCAAATTTAATAATATAATTCTTATTGTTATAATAATATTCACTATAAATTTGAAGTTATCAAAAAATCATAAGTTTAGAATTATTAAATACGATCATTAAAATGATTAATGGATATTCAATTCTTAACTAAAAATTAAGTTTGTATATATTTGAAAGAGTATTAAAAGATATAAAATTCATTTTTGCTATAATGATAGCTAATTAATCAATAAAATTTTAGCTATTGCTTAGAAGTTGCAGTAGAATAAAATGCAGAAACATGAACTGAGCTTCTCTTCCCAATTTCTTTGACTTATGATTTGTTCATTCTTCTTAATTCTTTTTCTCTGCTCTAAAAAATTTTCTATTTTACAGTTGATTAATTACATATTTGAGATTTTGAAGATTATCGCACGAGATATTAGAGACAATTTATGGCTTTATATGATTATATGAATATTATTAAAGATCTTAAGAAAAGTTTCTTTATTCTTTAAACATTTCATTCATAATCTTATTTAATCTATTCAATCGAATTTGCTAGCCAAAAGAATTCACATCTTTCACTTCAAATAAGTAGTGTTAAGAATTGAATTCTTAAGCAGCACTTTATTTATCTTATTATTTGGTTGATATAATTTAGCTAAATGCTCTTTTGGGTCTTTAATTATTTTCTTTAGTATTTTCAGTTTCTTCAATAACTTCATCTCTTTATTCTTCTTCCTATTCTTCTTCATATTACTTGGATTCTTCTATAAATTCTTCGAAAACAAATTTCTTTTCTATTTCTTTATTTACAGTAACATCCTTTGAAGCAAAAGGATCAAGTTAAATAGGATCAATTTTGACTCCAGATTGTTATAGCATCTTATCTAATTCTTCTAATTCTTCTAATTATTATTTAACTTCCTTTTACTGATGCTTTTTATTCAGATGTTTAAATAAATCATCGAGATATTTTTATTTCTCTATAAATTTACCATCAGAAAGTGGTTTAAATACTTTGAATTCATCTAATACAGTAGGTGTATTTTAGGATTATTTCAATTATGGAGCAATTTCAAAAAATCTAGTTCCTTTAAATTTTACATAAGATTTAATTTCCTCTCTACTTTTTCTATAAATACCACGTAATTTCTTGATATCTTCCTTTAGATTGACTATATGATACATTTTATTGATTTCTTCAATATATCTTCGTAAATATTCTATTCTAGCTTTATAATTATGTTTTTATTCTCCTTCATCCATCAAAACTTTTCTCATAATATTAATATCTTCTTAAATATCTGTACATATATCACTTAATCTAGTTTTCCATTCATTATCATAATCATATGAGACTTCTCCTCCAACATTCTACCATCCATTAATTTTATTAGCATCAGGAGGATGAATTTTAAGAACTCTGCATTTTGAAGGTCCATCATAAGTTTGAGTTGCATCTAATTTACAAATGCGTCTTTAGCTGAAAGTCTTACCATTTATATTATTTTGCTTTAAAAATAAGTAAGAAATAATCCTATCTAAACTGCATTTTGGATGATACATAGTTTAGAACTTCGGACATGGATCAAAGAAAGGAGCCTAGACTTGATTAAATTTTAATTTACTTCTTCATTTTTAGGAGGACTTAAAATAGGATGAAGTCTTGTAATTCTTGCTTATTTCATGTTGAAATATAATTTATTAAGCAATTAATAAGAAAATATAATATTAACATAAAAATTCATTATTGAGCACACTAAACTCTTTGACCTCTTGGTTAACTTTCTTCTTCATCATCATCTCTTTTACCTCCTTCTGGATTTGAATTAAGATTATTAACATCATATTATTCTAAATAGATTCTTTTATTGGGATCAAATTTTACTTTACTTTCTTAGGGTTTAGGTAAAATCTTAATATATTTTTGATAATAAATACATTTTTGAGAACATTAATTTATTCTTATTTTAATTCAGTAGGCATTTCAATTTCAAATTAAATATGAAGATCTCCTTCTTACATAGCATCTTTATAGAATGGCATACCTTTATGTTTGATAGTTCTAAAACTATCTATAAAATATTATAAAAAATATAATACTTGGAGATATAACTTCTCCTGGTTTAGTTGATATATTAAGATAAGATCCATCTAAGAATTTAAGTGTAAATTAACAACCAGTTAAAGCCTCTAATAATGTTATCTTTTTGGTTGTATATAGATCTGCTCCTCTTCTTTCATACATTGAATGTTTTTTAATTCTAATTCTTATATATAAATCTCCAGCCATCACTCCAGGATATTCATCTGATTCTCCATAAAATTGATAGTCATGTTCTTCTGGTACACCTTTTTCTAAAGGTATCTCCACTATCTTTTCTACATCAATAACTTTATTTCCATGACATTTCTTGCATCTATCCTTCTCTGAAAATATGGTACCCTCACCTCTGCAATCTGAACAAGGTCCACTTGATTAAGAATACATTCCTGGACCTAACATTGTTAATTTTTGAACAACTCCTTTTCCTTTACAAGTTGAACATTATTTTGAGTTAGCTCCTCCCTTTCCATCACATCCTTCACATACTCTCTTTCTTTAATGTTTAAGATGAATGATCTTTCCTTCATAAACATCTTCTAAAGTCACTTCTAATTCTCTTAATTTAGCCTTCATTTTTTTAGGACCTGATTCTTTACGACCTCCTCCAAAGAAATGACTAAATATATCTGACATATCTCCACCTCCTCCACCATTTTTCACTCCTTCCATTCCAAATCTATCATAAAGATCTTTTTTCTCAGGATTTGATAGTATTTCGTATGCTTCTGTTAATTTTTTAAACTTTTTATTAAATTTGGTGTAAATACCTTTTCAGGATCTCCTCCTTTATCTGGATGCTCTCTTACAGCTTTTTTTCTAAAAGCTTTTTTGACTTCATCTGTAGTAGCACCTGGTTAAACTCCCAATAATTCATATAATGATTTATTATCAACATTTTGTGGTTAAGAGGTAGAATTTTCTTCTTCTGCTCCTCCAAATGGAAAACCACTAAATCCTTTGAAACCTCCTGAAAACATTCAAACTAATTAAATATTTCTACACTTTGTTCTGTTCTTAGTTACCATTTAAATTATTTAGATTTTTCTAGAAAAACACTAATAGTCTTAATGCTGATATTAAAATATAATAGAAAAAATGTAAATTTTATAACAATTCTAAATCACTCTTTAAATTGTATATCCTATCTTCCATTAATATTTTTGATGTTATAAAAATTAGAATACCACTCACTTTAAAATAATAAATAATTATATCCTTTATTAAAATGAGCATATTATTTGAAGAATAGTTATTAAGTCACAATAAGGAAATTGAAATATCTATGAAAATTCTATTATAGCTAGAAGAATATACAGAATAGGAGAATATTATGCAGATTGCAAGGCTATTGCTATCCTAATCACAAATAATTAAGGAATAATAAACTGCTCTTAGTGAAGTAGAAAACCTATGCAAAGATTTATAAGAATAAATAGATAACCTTTGCAATCATAAATAATAATTAATAATTGAGAATCATAAGTATAGTTCACAAATATATGAATTATAAAACAATTATAATTCCATATAGAAAGAGCTCGATTCTGAAAAATATCATAGCTAAGACTTATCCTAATTAGAATCTCACATTAAAACATTATAATTAGAATTAGATTCCTTAAATAATCATAATGCATAGTCAATGACAGAGAATAAGAGATTAAATGAAAATAATTAATAGTTATTAAAGATTATTGATGATCATGAAATATTAATATAAAGAATGAGTAATGATTAAAAATAACTTGATTTTTTAAAATAAGAAGTATAAAATTAGATTCATAATAATAAAAAAATGGCATAATAACATGATATATTAGTAGAATAAATGAAATAAAAAATAGCAGAATATGAACTTAAATTAGATTTCTTTTAATAATAACAATAAAGTACTCTTTAAAGCAGAATGTCATTCTCTTTAGTAGATGATTTAGTTAATCAAGAAGATTTATATTAAAAAGTGAATGAAACAATTTAGTCTGAGTTTTAAAGCATAATATAAAATACAGACAATACTGAAACAAATAATACTGAATAGGTTGATGAATTTACTTATTTTAAAAAAGAATATTGTGGGTTGAAAGATAATAGATATATTAAAGAAATTATAAAAAAGGATAGAGAATCTATGAAAAAATAATATATTTTTTGTTTTAGTGATTATATATTCAGAATAAATATTAGAGGAGAAAAATCTAAGAGGATTATGTTTATTACAGAAAGTACTTTTTATTTTTTTGAAGAACATAATTAAAATATTAAAATTACAAGATAATTTCCAATTTCTAAGGTATAATAATTAATATGTTGTGAATTTAATCCTATTCTATGTTGTTTAAAAATAAAAGGATAAAATGATGATTATTTGATTGAAACCTTTAAATTAAAGGATTTTATAGAATTCTTAAATGAAACTCTTAATTCTTAAATTTAAATATCCTATTAACAAAATTTTTAGATTTAATTTAAAAATTATACACATCCTAAAAATCTTAATGAGATTGGTAATGGATTATATGATGGGAGTGGAAAATAAGCAGCTTTCAAAGTGTCTCAAAAGTAAGGGTTTTTATAGATGTAATAGAAAACACTCTTTGGATTTTAGGATTGGGTTGAAGTATTTGCATTAATGACAGATGTGGGACTATTATTATTTAAATAAGCTGGTGATATGCATCCAATCCTATTTGTTCCATGTGCAGATGCAATAATAATAAAAAATCCATTGAAATGTAAACCGAACTGTCTTAAGATAAAATATCGAGATTGTGAATACGTTTTTAATGTAACTTCATAAGCATTGCTAGAAGAATGGTTTCAAGAATTGAATAAATAAGTAGTTAGTTAACATAAATTGCAGTTATCTTAATCATTAAGGAATCTTTGAGATATAATTTATAATTTGTGTATTAAAATATAAATCATTCTATTTTAGGTTCAGAAATTGAATAATCTATTTACTATTATATACTTAAATCTTAAACTTCAGTATTATCTTTGAGACTAGGTTTGGCCATTTTACCTCCATTTTATTTATCAACAAACCATAATCCAATATTACTAATTAACCCAATTATAGCTGTACTACCTAAAAATAATAACATATGTCTATAAGCTGTTGGAGTTTCATCTGAAATTAAATGACCTACTATAATTGGGAAGACAGTTAATCCAATATTTTAGACAGCATTAACAACTCCAAATGCTGTTCCAACAGCTCTTTCTGGTACACATAAAGGAACACAAGGCCACATAACTGCAGCATATAGAGAGTAATAGATTCCATTTAAAATTTATCCTAATATTGGTCCAGTAAGACAAGTATCAGATGTATCACAAGTGATAGTTATAAACATAGCATTCACTAATACTAATAAGCCACCACATAAAACTAATAAATGAGTTCTTCTACCAAATTTATCAATTACAAAACCAAATACAGGAGTTAAGAGTGCAGCTGAATAATATGGTATACTATAAACATTACTTGCTTAACTTGGACTCATATGATATCTAAAATAAGATAATAAATTTACATGAGTTTAAACATTTCAACATTATTGTATTAAAATAAAAAGAATGCAGAATAACATGTGAGACAACTGAGAGTAAGAAGATGAAAATCTAACTTAAACTCTTTGATATCACTTAATGTTATTTTATCACCTTCAATTTTAGCTTCTACATTATCTCTCTTATCAGAATATTTATCTAATAAAGCTAGAACAATAGCATCTACCCAAGCTAAGATTAAAAGAGCTAAACAAAAAAACATAGAAGCAGACAAACTATTTCCAAACCAAATATATGTTTTTCCTAATAAAATTGCGCCTAAGACTGAACCAAGTCTTGCAAATGTAATATTCAAACTAATATATAATTATACTCTACTTACCCCAAAGCAAATGCTAATTCACTCCCGAAAAACCATTTACTTACAATATAAGATTAAGCAACAACACAATTTTCACCGCCTAATCCAAATACTAATCGACCAATTAACATTGTTGTAAAATTACCAGTTACTGCTGAAATATAACAAAGAACTTATTAAAATTAAGATAATTATATACATTAACCCACTATTAAGATAGCAAAGAAACCAACCATAGCAAGTCTGATTCCCATTGCATCAATAAATAATCCACCTAATAGAGGTAAAATAACATTAGGTAATGAGTAATAAGTATAGAGGAGATTCACATCTGATTATTTTTTGTCAAAGCTATCTTTAATTTCTTCAGCTAAAACAGAAGGATAATCTGTGCTAAAATAACTTCCAAATTAAAATAGACATGCTAATATCAATGCTATCCATCTAACATTAGTATTATGCCAAGATTTTTATTTATTAGTAATCAACTCTTATGATTAATCCTTCTTCTCATAATCATTCATTTGTAGAAAAAAATTATAGATTTTAATAAGTGGACATTATGACGATTATATACATTTATATGTAATATTTAAAAACATCATATATGATTAAATTATGTAAGGTTATGATTCTACATCATTTATTACAAATTAAATGATGCAAAGTCATTTTATATAATAAAATTGAACCAATACAAAAAAATATATAATATTTAAAATAATTTATAAAGTATTTCCTTCAATAATAAATACTTAAATAAGTTTATTAATAAATTTCATTAATTATTTATCTGTTAAACATAATTATACAATAATGAAAGATACTACCAGACGTATATTTGAAAAAGAGAATTAAGCTGAAGTTTCTAATAATATTGACAAAAGGACTAATTAAAAATCATTCACTTAATTAGTTTCATTAAGTTTGCTAAATAGATAACCAAGTAATATATATATATAATGATTTATAGAAATTGAATTCAAAAGCATAGATATCAAATAATAACCTTAACAATTAAACTATTTAACATAAAGAAACCCTAATGTATCAAGTCTACATTATCGTCCAGAAATAAAGTAAAAAACAACTATTTCCACAACTGAATAAATTGTAAGCTATTTTATCAATAGTAGTAGTTTTCACCAATTACTGTGAGATAAACCACCTCTATTAGTTAATGTAATTAAGACTATTTAAATAAAGAATAAAAGAATCCATAAAATAAATTGATTTATCTTTATGGAGATAATATTCTTATAAATTATTAGAAAGATGATTCTATTTAAAAGTTTGAATTTTTAAAAAAACATACTATAAGTAGTAATTTAAGAGCTAAAATGGTTGATTGGATGGTTGAAGTTTTAACATCATATAAATGTAAAGATTAGACCTTTTTTATGGCTGTAAGATTAATGGATACATTTTTACATTAAACAACAAAATAATATGTTCCATAAGATTTACATCTAATTGGTGTGACTTGTATGTTCATTGCTAGTAAATTTGAAGAAATTTATCCTGTAAAATTATAAATAGTGCATGAAAAGATAGCACACAAGAAATTATCTAAGGATGAAATTAGAGAAAAGGAATGTTAAATAGCATAAGCTTTAGATTTTAAATTTGTTGGAACAACACTTTCAGAAATCATTTTAATGACGTTATAACTAATCAACTAATATTAAAAAATGCATTAATTAGTTATCTATTTAGCTAAAATAGTTTTATATGATTATGAACTAATTAGTTAATATAATTATTCATCATTATCAGCTGCATGTATAATAATTGGATGCAATCTATTATGTCAAGAATCTANTAATCCTTCTTCTCATAATCATTCATTTGTAGAAAAAAATTATAGATTTTAATAAGTGGACATTATGACGATTATATACATTTATATGTAATATTTAAAAACATCATATATGATTAAATTATGTAAGGTTATGATTCTACATCATTTATTACAAATTAAATGATGCAAAGTCATTTTATATAATAAAATTGAACCAATACAAAAAAATATATAATATTTAAAATAATTTATAAAGTATTTCCTTCAATAATAAATACTTAAATAAGTTTATTAATAAATTTCATTAATTATTTATCTGTTAAACATAATTATACAATAATGAAAGATACTACCAGACGTATATTTGAAAAAGAGAATTAAGCTGAAGTTTCTAATAATATTGACAAAAGGACTAATTAAAAATCATTCACTTAATTAGTTTCATTAAGTTTGCTAAATAGATAACCAAGTAATATATATATATAATGATTTATAGAAATTGAATTCAAAAGCATAGATATCAAATAATAACCTTAACAATTAAACTATTTAACATAAAGAAACCCTAATGTATCAAGTCTACATTATCGTCCAGAAATAAAGTAAAAAACAACTATTTCCACAACTGAATAAATTGTAAGCTATTTTATCAATAGTAGTAGTTTTCACCAATTACTGTGAGATAAACCACCTCTATTAGTTAATGTAATTAAGACTATTTAAATAAAGAATAAAAGAATCCATAAAATAAATTGATTTATCTTTATGGAGATAATATTCTTATAAATTATTAGAAAGATGATTCTATTTAAAAGTTTGAATTTTTAAAAAAACATACTATAAGTAGTAATTTAAGAGCTAAAATGGTTGATTGGATGGTTGAAGTTTTAACATCATATAAATGTAAAGATTAGACCTTTTTTATGGCTGTAAGATTAATGGATACATTTTTACATTAAACAACAAAATAATATGTTCCATAAGATTTACATCTAATTGGTGTGACTTGTATGTTCATTGCTAGTAAATTTGAAGAAATTTATCCTGTAAAATTATAAATAGTGCATGAAAAGATAGCACACAAGAAATTATCTAAGGATGAAATTAGAGAAAAGGAATGTTAAATAGCATAAGCTTTAGATTTTAAATTTGTTGGAACAACACTTTCAGAAATCATTTTAATGACGTTATAACTAATCAACTAATATTAAAAAATGCATTAATTAGTTATCTATTTAGCTAAAATAGTTTTATATGATTATGAACTAATTAGTTAATATAATTATTCATCATTATCAGCTGCATGTATAATAATTGGATGCAATCTATTATGTCAAGAATCTAGTGACGATATTGTAATTAATTATTACTATTATTTATTAGATTTCTTAAACTTTATAAGTACTTAATGTTGATAAGGATGAAACAATAGAATTATCAAATAAAGTATTAAATTTAGCCAAGAATTTTGATAAACTATTTCCTAATCTAGAAAACTTAAAGAAGTTCAATAAAAATTCAACCTTAGACATAATCAAACTATAAAAATGAACTTCTTTACTTTGTATGTTTATTATTATATATTACTATATCATTTGATGATGCTCATGAATTGACTTTCTGTAATGAAATAACTTTAAACAACTTTATTTCCGAATTTCCTGTTGTTCATTAATACATTTACTTATTTAGCAGCTTCCCATTATTTAAATACAATAATAACATTACCTTCATTTTTTTTATCAACCCATACCATTTCTACTTCTCCATATTTTTTGCATTCATCTATAATATAATATATATAAAATACTCTCTACTTCTTCTTTTAATTCAACAATAGCTGCTTAATTAGATATTTCTAATTCAGTCCACATATTAGTCAATACAATAACTTTTGTAATACATGGACATGCAGGTGGATAATGTTTAAGAGGCATCCAACCAGATATACAACCTAAAGAAGGATTAGGAGATTGTATAATATTTAAAATTCTTTAAACAGTTAAACCTAATTATGTCATCAAAGGTGGTAAATTGATCTATATATATATATATATAATATATTTACATTATCAATTAAATTATCATCCATCAACTTTTTCATAAGTGTAATTCTCATTACTGGATTCTAAACTAAATCATCATCTAATTATAAATCCATATAATTATTGGCACCAGATACTAATTAAACTTTTATGGGTTTTCCATTTAATAAAAATGGTTAATTATTAATGACTTCTATCATATTTCTAGCTGATTCTGCTTTCTCATATGTAACATAAAGAACTCCTGTCATTCTTCCTTATTCATCTTTAGGAATTTCTACTGTATCTATTGTACCAAAAGGTGCAAATGCTTCTCTTATATCTTCTTCATTAATTCTTTAAAGTTATTCTGCCATTCCACTAACTTGAACTCTTGCAGGTCCATTCATATTTTATAAGTCTTATATTGATTAAAGTTTATTTTATTTAATTTGCATATTCTTTTAATCTCTAGCAGCTCTATTTTTTTCTGCTTAACTCAATTATATTTTAACTGGAATTGTTCCTACTTATTAACCATCCATAATAAATAATCTATCATTCAAAGCTAAAGCCATAGGAATAGATTCTTCTTAATAAAATTCAACATATGCTACTCCTCTAGATCTACTTGATTTTTGATCTCTTATAATTCTAATATCTCTAATCTTACCACAATTGAACTATTAAAAATAAATGATATTTTATTACAGTTTAGAAAAATTAATATATGTGTTTTTCTTTTGCTTTTAATGGTAAACAGTACATTAAAACAGTTAAATCTTATCTATGAGCTTCTTCTAATTCTCTTTCTACTTCAACAATTTTTCTTTCTAATTCTCTTATTTCTGCTTCCATAATTTCAATTTTCCTCTATTTAGCAATTTCCCTTTTCTTTTAAATATCATTAGTCATTAATATCTAAGTTGTAATTGTTTATTATTGTTATTCTTTATCTTTTTCTCTATCCTTATCTTTTTTACTCTTTTTTTTCTTAGATGATTTAGATGCTGATCTTGATCTTCTACCACATTAATAATTATTATATTACTTTTTCTTATCTTTTTTTTCATCTTTCTTCTTTTTCTTTTTTTCTACACTCTTGTCCTTTTCTCTGTCCTTATCTCTCTCTTTTTCTCTTTCCTTATGACTCTCTTTATTATGTTTATCCTTATTTTTCTCATGTCCACGTTCTTTATCCTTTTCATTCAACTTTGAATCATGCTTTTATCCATGATGGTGTTCCTATTATATATATCGTTGGAATTGCTCAAAATCTAAATCATCCATTTATTATTAATTAAATAATGAAACAAAATTTGTATAGTAATAATCAAAGACCTCCAAGTACAACTAAAGATAAAATGTAAGCATAAGGATTGCCCAATTATCCATTATTACTTAATAAAACTTAATCAACACCATCTTCATAAGAGATCAAATAAAGTTATCCTTACTCTTCATATGGTATATCCACACTTACCACCTAATAATAATAAGTAAATTATTATTATTTATTTGAATAGTCTAAACCTTATGAATAAAACACATAAAAACTAAATCCATATTAAATAAATTCATAACAATCATCAAGTGCAATGACAACTTCACTATCGACTACTTAAAAGACTAATTCAACTATTTCATCTATGTCATAATCTTAACCTGAATAATAATAATATTAGAAATATATGTAAAATGTCAGCAAAGGCATATGCGGATTGAGAAATATTGGCAATACATGTTTTATGTAATTGTATTTAATTACATTCAGGAATTCAGTTCTGTAATGCTTACTCAATCTTCCTGCTTTTAATGAACACTTTTTAAATGGTGATTACTTAAAAGACTTGAATTCTAAAAACAGTTCTGTTCCAAATGAATATAGTAAATTAGTTTCCACTGTTAGGAGCACACCAAATTTCTAATCTATTGCTCCATATGGAATAAAATCAGCAGTTGGTAATTTCTTTATATTTATTAGCAATTTCTATTAGAAAATGTTATGCCTTGTTTTAGAGGTTATGCTTAATAAGATGCTTAAGAATTTTTGGTAGCATTATTAGATGGTCTCAGTCTTGGTTTAAATAGAGTAAAATACAAATCATCATATAAAGAAATGAATGATAATCTTAATGGAAGAAATTTATAAGATTTAGTAATTGTTATTTTAATTATATTTTAGAGTAAAGAATGGTGGGATTATTCAAAAAGTAGAGAAAATAGTTTGGTTTTAGATTATTTTTAAGGATAATTATTACATACAATCAAATGTTCTTATTGTAGCAATAGTTCATATGCATTTGATACTTTCTTAGATACATCTTTAGCATTTACAAGAGCATTTAAAATATTAGAAGATATGGATTTAGATAGATTATTAGATAAATATGTAATAGAAGAAACAATAGATGATTATTATTGTTCAAAATGGTATTTAATTTATCGTTATTGTATGTTGAAGTAAAAAGCATTAAAAAGTGAAACGTAAATTTACAATTTGGAGATTACCTCATATTTTAATGTTTCATATCAAAAGATTTGATTATAGAAGATTTTCTAGTGATAAATTAAATCATAGAGTGAAATTTCCATTGGAATTAGATATGTCAAAATTCATTTAAGATTCACGTAAGACATTCTTAATTTTAGTTGACTAGTCTACCAAAAATTGTTAATATTCCTTATGTGGAATAGTAAATCATAGTGGAACTTTGTATGGAGGACACTACACAGCGTAAATTATAATTTATATATTTATAAAGTGACAGTTTGAATCCATTTAATTTAAAATGGTATCGATATAATGATTCTGATGTAAGAGAGATTGATGTAAAACAATAAAGATATGATACTGATGGCAGTAGTAGTCCATATATATTGTTTTATGCGAGAAAGTCATTATATTGATTAAAATAATTGTAATGCTATTTTTGGTATTTTATATCACAGTTATTATAAAAACCATCTAATCCATTGATTCAATTACTTTTAATTTTACATCTCTTATAATTTCTATTAAAGTTTTTAATATTGATGTGTATTATGAATTGTTAATAATACTTAAGCATTCATCTCTTTACATTCAACCAAATGAGATATATATAATTTTGTATGATTTTTACAAGCAAAACATTAACAATCTGGATTTAATGGTACCTATAATAAATAAATATATAAATATACATTTTCTTTAACATCTGAATTGATAGGAAAATTAATATAATTTATTTTCTTTCCTTCCAATTCATAAAAATTAATTTTATCACCAGAAAATTATTCAATATCACTATCTTTAGCATCAAAATTTGGTATTAAAATTACTTTAAGATCTTATGCAAATCGAAAAGGTTCTTCAACTTCAAAACCTTCTATTCCCCAACTCATACCCCAAAGAATAGATAATATATCTCCATATCCTGCTAAAATATATGATAAATTATATCCATCATATATTGATTATAGTACAGATAAAGCATCCTCTTTATCTTACCATGAACTACCTTTATTGAATCCATAAAGAGTAAAACCTCTAAAATTTGGATAATCAATTGCAAATTTTTATTCTTCTGCAGCAATTATTTTTAAATCAGTATCTAAACCTCCTTAAATGGCCCCATAAATACTAATTTATGTGTCTTTTAATTCATCTAAACTTTCTTTTAAAAATTTAGATGATTTTTAATAAGATCTCTTCATAGATTTTTGACCTGCATCCATTCCTGGTTATTCTGTTAAAGAGACCAAAATTTCTGGATTAATTAATCTAGCCAATTTATTATATTGTTAATTTGTAATTGGTTTGATTCCTTCTAATTAAGCTATTTTAACTCCATCTTAATTTGATTATCCTTCAACACATTTTATTTTATAAGAATCAATTGAAGTCATATATAAGGTTTTATTTTCTTGATTGATATATTGACGAAAACTTATATTGGTTTCTGATTGTAATTTATTTAGTGTATTTTCCATATGAAAAAAATCACCTGCACTTATTAAACATGTATCAAGATTAAGTGATTATTAATTAAATGGAGTTAAATGATAATATGCTCCCATTCTTGTAGTATAAATAAACAATGGCGATTTTTTCATTTGTTATAATAAATTCTTATAAGTGATTCATGAATAATTCATTCATAAAATCTGAAATTAGATAAGAAATTAGAAAAAAAATAATATCTAAATAAATTGCATACCCTTATCTACTATGGCAGACGAACAATTAACCATTTTGTATATGATCAATCCAGACCCCATATTTTATGGTATGATGGATCAACTTATAATTGAAACCTTCCAAAAATTAAAAGTTAATGTAATTGTCACAGAACTTGAAGAATTAAGTGTTATCATTGGAAACGTAAATAATTGATCATATATCAATATAGGAAATAACATTCTATAGAAAAGGAGAATAAATACACTTTGATGCATTTTTAGCATATGGATATATGGCTCCAAAACACTACTAAGATTATATGTATTTCAATTTTGCTGTACATTCTGCTGGAAAAATCACTCTTCATCATCCCTCTACAGAGAGTAGCTAGATGTGGAGCTTCTTTCTCATTAAATACCTTCAAATAAAATCTAAGAAGATTTAATAATAAATCTATCATAAAAGAAGTTGAAGGTTATGAAGGCACTGGAGTTAAACTTTCAATAAATCATAATTAAAGTACAGAACTATTTTGTAAGTCTATGTGGAATGGAGAATAAGCCATTATATAAGATTTTATTGATGATACTATTGGAAGATCAATTAGAGTTCTTGTAATTGGTGGTAAAGCTGTTTCTGTCACTGAATTCTAAGATAATGTGGTAATTATTATCATCTAAATCTAGGATTTTAAATCTAATGGATATAGTGATGACTTTTAAATTCAATCTAAGATGGATTCAGAAAAAAAATAAGAATATTTTAAAATTGCTGAAAAGGCTTGTGCAGCTATAGATCCCCATTTAACAATTGGAGGAGTTGATATTTTGGATTCTAGAAAGAATGGAATTGTTGTTTTAGAAATTAATAGTTGGCCTGAGATGACATTCTCATAAGATGCTACAGGCCTTCCTCTCTTTGAATAATTTGGCTAAGAATTTATTGAAAAAATAATATCTAATAATAGAGAAAGAACAGACTCAACTTGATTATATCATATATTGTTTTATTTATGTTTGCAAACTGTTCTGTAACAAGTTTAAAATAAACTTACATTTAAAATGGATATTCTGATTTCCTAAAATTAAAATTAATTAATTCTAATACAAATATTAATAATATATAATAAATCTAAAAAAAATATTAGGAAAAATTAATATAAATTAACATTCATTCAATATATTAATATTTGTATAACAATCTAAGTATAATGTATATTTTTTATAAAAAATGATATTAATTCAGAATTTTAAAAAAATATTTGGAGATAGAGCGCCTTGAGTATGAAATTTATTAAATGTGAATGAAGTAACTCAATAGCATGATCTCTATAAATTATTAATATTATTAGGTATATAAACTTTATTAACAAAATTTATAAGTTTATGGGATTAAAAAAAATTGAACAAAACTTAAATGTTTTAATATCTCTATTCTGTTTATTATTAATCAAATATATTATAATAATAATATTTCTATATTTGTTTTTGTATAATTTATATAATAAATGAGATCAATTCCTATATTTTTGGTATTCTATTTACTTTTGGAACATTTAAATGTATTAAACTTACAAATTTATATTTCGCCAATTTTTATTAATTATAATTTATATAGTCGTTAAAATATCAAANGCTAGATGTGGAGCTTCTTTCTCATTAAATACCTTCAAATAAAATCTAAGAAGATTTAATAATAAATCTATCATAAAAGAAGTTGAAGGTTATGAAGGCACTGGAGTTAAACTTTCAATAAATCATAATTAAAGTACAGAACTATTTTGTAAGTCTATGTGGAATGGAGAATAAGCCATTATATAAGATTTTATTGATGATACTATTGGAAGATCAATTAGAGTTCTTGTAATTGGTGGTAAAGCTGTTTCTGTCACTGAATTCTAAGATAATGTGGTAATTATTATCATCTAAATCTAGGATTTTAAATCTAATGGATATAGTGATGACTTTTAAATTCAATCTAAGATGGATTCAGAAAAAAAATAAGAATATTTTAAAATTGCTGAAAAGGCTTGTGCAGCTATAGATCCCCATTTAACAATTGGAGGAGTTGATATTTTGGATTCTAGAAAGAATGGAATTGTTGTTTTAGAAATTAATAGTTGGCCTGAGATGACATTCTCATAAGATGCTACAGGCCTTCCTCTCTTTGAATAATTTGGCTAAGAATTTATTGAAAAAATAATATCTAATAATAGAGAAAGAACAGACTCAACTTGATTATATCATATATTGTTTTATTTATGTTTGCAAACTGTTCTGTAACAAGTTTAAAATAAACTTACATTTAAAATGGATATTCTGATTTCCTAAAATTAAAATTAATTAATTCTAATACAAATATTAATAATATATAATAAATCTAAAAAAAATATTAGGAAAAATTAATATAAATTAACATTCATTCAATATATTAATATTTGTATAACAATCTAAGTATAATGTATATTTTTTATAAAAAATGATATTAATTCAGAATTTTAAAAAAATATTTGGAGATAGAGCGCCTTGAGTATGAAATTTATTAAATGTGAATGAAGTAACTCAATAGCATGATCTCTATAAATTATTAATATTATTAGGTATATAAACTTTATTAACAAAATTTATAAGTTTATGGGATTAAAAAAAATTGAACAAAACTTAAATGTTTTAATATCTCTATTCTGTTTATTATTAATCAAATATATTATAATAATAATATTTCTATATTTGTTTTTGTATAATTTATATAATAAATGAGATCAATTCCTATATTTTTGGTATTCTATTTACTTTTGGAACATTTAAATGTATTAAACTTACAAATTTATATTTCGCCAATTTTTATTAATTATAATTTATATAGTCGTTAAAATATCAAAGATGAAATCTGTGAATATTTTGAAAATGCTTGAAGCTAATAAAGAAAATAGAAACTTTTAATTAGTTTAAAATAGATAAAACAGAGTTCAATCTACTCTCTATATAAAAGATGAGTTATCTCAATAAAATATTAAACCAAGAGTTATAAGGGTTTCAAAATGGAATAAGTCATAAAATATCAGAGACAATTCAAAACGAGAGGATTAAAGGCATATTAGTTATGAATTACCCAGATAAAAAACTGATTAATATTAACATATTTAAAGAAATCTAAAAAATAGAAGTTTAACTAACATCTAAATTTCCATCATTAATTAAGCCTAGAATAATAATAACAATAATAATGCTTCAATATCATTACCTAATAGTAACAAATGTAAAGCAATATAATTTTATTTTTAGATTTAGTTACAAAAGGATTAGATAAATTTTAATCAACAGAAAATTATGGAAATCCATAATTAGTTAAAACTTATAAATAGGATATATTTAACTATCTTGAAGAATTCAATTTAAAGTTATAATAGTAAAATACTATCTCATATAATGCATTTTATTAATAAAGTTAGATTACTTTAAAAATGAGAAATGTTCTTATTAATTGGCTTTTTGAAGTTCATCATAAATTAAAATTACAATTAGAGACACTCCTTTTAACTGTATGGTTAATAGACAAGTAAGTATTAAAAATAATTAAGATTTATTGAAACTCATTTAGTATAAAAGAATAGATTTCAACTTTTTGGAATTGCTTGTTTATTTATTGCATCAAAATATTAAGAAGTTTATGGTGTTCCAAAAAGTGGTTAATTATCTAAATTGTGTGATGAAGTTTATAGCAAAGAAGACATATTGAAAGCAGAAGGGTAAATACTATAAAATATAAATTTTAATTTATCTTTCATATCACCATTAAGAATATTTGAACATATTGCTGAAGTTGATGATTAAATTAGGTTGATTATTTCAATTTAATTAGTTGATATCTGATATAGTTGGCCTCATTTAGTTATGGATTTGCAAATGGAGACCCCTTTTTAATAGTGGCTACTATTTTAAATATTGTTGGAAAAATCTCTAACAAAAAGATTGATTCCTCAATATTAAAGGTAAAATTATAAACTTTAGCTCATAGGTAGATTCTAATCAAATTAACAAATTAACAAAAGAATTAATTTAAACTTGGTTTCTAGATGAAGTTAATTAACCATTTCCATCTCTCATCAAAAAGTATTAACACTCTCATTATAATCATGTTTCAACAATTAATTTTAGTTTAGATCTATTTTTATGATTGTAGAATAATATCTTGTAGTTATTAGTAATTACTAACAATATTATTATTAATATATATATAATTATCTTATTAATAGAATTTTTATTCTAAAAACTAATAGTAAAGAAAAAACAAGAAAAACAAGAAGATTTAAAAGAAAAACTATCACTTAATATATCAACATTTAAAATATAATATTAAAACTTTGTTTGATTAATTAATATAACAATATGACATTGATATTTTGAATAATAAAATATTATAATTGTACATATTATTTATTTTTATTAACATCTAATTTTTTTGATTATCAAAGAATGTAGCAAATATAAATAAAATCAATTTAAAGTTCATTTATTAGTTCTTATAGAAAAATTTAACCAATAAAAATTTTAATGAAGTATTATATTAAACAATTATTAATTATTATTAATCAATGTGATTTTTTTAATAACATTTATTCTATATCTAAAAAGGATTTCAACAATTCATTTTTCATTTATTAATATTATCCTAATCCTTATAAAGTTTAAGAGGAATTAAATTCACTTTATTAAAATTCATCTTATCTATCTTAAATATCTTTTATGATTTTAGTTTTTGTGTTTACAAAATTAAAGTAGTCTGTATTTAATGTTGATTATGAATTTTATTATGTTTTATGAGTATTTTTACAAATCAATTCATAATCAGGAACCAATTCATTAATTTAAAACTTAGAGCAACTAAATGTTTTTTTTTGTTAAGATTATTTTTATGTAGATGATTTAGCTACAGAGACTTTCATAACTGATTATGGTTTAGAAATTTTTTTGTTTTGAATTCTGTTATTTTAAATTAGTTAAAGTTCTTTCTCTTTTTTGACTTTATCAATAATTTGCTATCTAGTCAAAAACATTTTAGTATTAGAAGCTTTGTTTGTCAAAAGGAGTTAGAATTATTAGAGTGTATTCATTTTAACGGATTTAAACTAAACCTATATTAATTTATTTAATTTTAGTTGAGACTATATAATATTTTGTGTAAAACAATCCTTAATTAATTTGAAGATTGTTATAATTTAAAGTAATTGATTATTTAAAGACACCTAAATACTCAATAAATAGAAACATATTATTTTATATTCTATTTTTAAATAATCAAATATGTAAATTTTTCTTAATAATAATAATAATCATTTTCTATCTTTTTTTGTTAATACTAAGTGAAGATAGGATTATAAATAATCCTTTTTTTATTCATTCATTAATTAATTTTATTATTGAATGGTTTTATTATATAAAAAATCATTTATGTTGTTAAAATAGATGATATATATTACAATTATTTTAATCATTTTCTATTTAATTTAAGATTAAGCTATTAAATATTAGTTCTGATATATAAATATATTGTTATTAATTGGTAATATATTTCTTAATATATTATATTTTAATGCTTTTTCTTAATTTAACAAATTTATAAATAAAAAATATTATTATTATTTTATTTAAAAAAATTGTATTGATTAGTATTTTATTAATGGAAACTTCATATTTAATCTAATAATTATATCATAAAAAAATTGTTTTATTTGTAGAAATTACACCCCAAGAATTAATATTACTTTTATTACTAAAATAATTAAATTTTTTAATTTGAAATAATAATTATAACAAAATACTATAAATTAAGATTACAATATAAAGAAATATTCAATCTAAATTATTAGATCCATTTAATGTGAAAGAAAGCCTTCTAATTTAAATGTTTTTGATTTTGAGATCTGTTTTTACTTCATAAATTTCTAATTAATCATCTTATTAAATTGATTTACTATTCTAAGTAGTCTATTCTGATATGTATTATTATGTTTTTGATTCCATAATTTATTTTTAAGAACAAATATCAAGCCATTGAACCTTTTTTTTATTTTTGACTTTCATTTTATTAATTCTTTATTCAATTGATATTTCCTACTTTAAAGCTTACTACTAATTAATATTTTATGATTATAACTCTAAATGAGATGGTTGAAGGTTATTTAAAGAATTTAAACTGTCAGATCCTTTGAATATATCAGTATTTTATTTAATAAGTTAAACATCTATTGGAATTTTGAAGATCCAAAGAACAATATCTTATGATCTAGGATCCTTCACAAAACTAAAAAAGTTATCTTCATAGTTAAATAATTAGGACTTTTTAAACTTTACAATTAATTCAACTTCTTTTTCAGAAATATATACACATGAATAATATACATTATTGAAATAGACTCCACTTTTAGGTTTTTATTTAATAAGATCAGCATCTTATGACATAGATTCAAAGCATTTAGAATAATAAACAAGCATATTATTATTGAGTAATGATATCATTCTTTGATTATGAAAGAGAAAGCTATTGTTCAATTTTTTAGCTTTTAATACTTTTCCTTTTAGATAAGATTAGATCTTAAATTATTATTTGCCTTAATGAGATAAAAATTCTTTGTTCATAAAAATAATAATATCATTTTACTAAATTCAATTGATTTGTAATAAAGTCTTCCATTTCTACAGGTTTGTTAGCTTAACAATATAGATCGTAAAGTACTGATATCATTTCATTTCTACCAGGATGATCTTAAGGTAATTTATTTTTTAATTAAGTAGCAAGATCAAAAAATTTTCTTTTGAGTGTTTTTTCTTATTATTAATTTTATGGATCCATTTATTTCATTTTTCTTTTAGTTGCTTTCATTGCTTTTGACATATAATCATATAATTATATAGATCCACAATCTTCTTATGGTAATTATTTAATCATATTCTCTATTTTATAAATAATAGTTTTAACAGTTTGGGCATCATTTGCAATTAAGATTTAATTTAAATTTGAAATCATATCTGATAATATCTTTTTGGAAAATACAAGCTATTATTTATCAAGTTCATCTTAAAGCATTTATTTAAGTTTTTGAATTTTTCCCTCCAACTTATCATCATTATATTAATCATGTTAATAAAATGTTTCATCACAAGGTATTTAATGCATAACAGTGAGTTCTAATTAATGATTAGAAGTTCTGACTCTTGATTTTGCTAATTTTTATTCTAATACCTATGAAACATTAAGCACTGGTTGTTTTTACATATCAAATTTGTTTAAGAATTCAGTAACTAAATTGGACATCAAGTTTAATTCTTGTTCCTTAATTAATGTAAAATTAATAAATATACTTTTTTGACTGGATTTTGGGAAACATTTAATTATGATATTTCAGATTGATTAACTTTGTCTATAATTTAAGAATACTCTTTTAAGACTTATTTAGCATCAACTTGAATTTTAGATCTAATAGTAGGATCATTATTTGATTTTCTTAAATCATCTGCATAAGCTTATAATAATCCCATAACTTTATCTTTTAAAACGGACATGTCATCATAGAGTTCTTCTTCTATATAACTTTTTTCAATGATTTCTGTAACTTCTGATTTAGGTTGAAAATATGGATTCTTCCCAAAGGTTCCACGATAACTTTAATTCTCTTAGACTTGCTCTTATTGTTTTTATTATTATACTATTTATTAAGGTTAAACTAATAATGAAGATTAAATATAAATATACCAATTCCTATTGGATTATTGAATTGATTTTGGCATATAGATTCTTCTTATTCCGAAACAATTGAAAAATCACTTAGCATTTTTGAAAGATTAGCTTAATCAATTTCTCTAAGAATTTGAACTTAGCTATTTCTAGGTTATGTTTATTTTCCAAAAGTTTCTCTTGGTGAATTTGGTCTTACTTAAAATGTAAATCTATCTTCATTATTATTTTGTTCATATTTGTTGATGATGTTTTGGGCAGATTATCTAGAATTAGAATTTGATGAATTATTCATCTTTTAATTAAAATAAATAATATGTCTAAGTTTAAAGATAAACCTACATCTTCTCAAATAGGTTGTGGTTGTTTAGGTAGTTCCAAATAAAAAACTATGTATAATATATATTTCATTTTAGAATGAAGTTCTCCCATATTGAGATAGATGAAGAGATTGTATCTGCATAAATTATAATGGAAATGATATATAGAGGCTAGAATGCTGAATTAGCATTATCTCGTTGTAGACTCAATCCAAATCTAGTCATACTTTAATTTAGAGATGACTTAGAGTACTTTATACCATAGCTAATTAACCATATTATATACAAATAGCTTGAATATGTGCTTAAATTTATTCTAAAAGCAGCAGAAGTAGATTTCTTCTTTGCTCATACATTCTTTTTTGCCTGGAGATCTATAGTAAATGATAACAATCCAGAAATTGAAAATTATTTAAGACTCTTTTTATCAACTTTAGATAGGGTATATAAAAAGACTCTGTTAATTGCTGCTTGTATTGAGAATCATCAATTTAATGATGGCATAGAACAACAAGTTTCTAAAGGTGTTCCTATTGTACAATAGGTAAGTAAGTTACCTGACAGAATTCAAGCATATGGCACCTTATTTTACTCTAATCATGTGTTTAATGATACCTTGCAATTAGCAAATTATGAATCAATTTTTAGATAAGCTAAACCATCAGGATTTTGTTCAACTATTGATTTTTGGGATGACATCATATATATTTCCTAAAAGTATTTAACTTATTTAGGCTCATAGTTTGCATTTGGCAGATCCAAAATTAATATCTCTTAAAGCAGATATCCAAAAAATCAACAGAGGTTTACCAGCTGCAGTTTATATTCCTTTTTAAGGAGTTAGAAATTATGTTGTACTTAATATAGTTGTTGATGAATGCAGAGTATTTTCAACTAAATGTAGATCTCCATTTTATTTATGTTTCGAAATATACAGACCTGAAGAAGAAGCTGAATTAATTCCTAATCCACTTAGAAATAGTCGTTTGTCTATTCCAAAAACAGTTGGAAAAATGGATAATAAAAATAATAGTGAAAATAATGAAACATAAGATTGTACAAGAAATAGACCTACATACCTTTGTAAAATTGTTGAAGCTGAAGAAGATGCAGAAGAAGGTAAGGATGATTTAACTCAATTCAGTAATATATTACGGGATAATGATGTTACACATTCATATTATGAAGATTTAAATAATTTAGTATCAATTTAAAATGTTAAAGTGTAATAATAATAATTAAAGAAAATGACTAAAAAAGAATTAACTGATTCTATATATGGTTGTGATAATTAAGATAAAATTAAGAATAACTCTCCTTTTCGTAATTTCAAAACTTGGAAATTAGTACATCTTATTGTTAAATCTGGAGATGACTTAAGATAAGAACAATTTGCTATGCAATTAATATCAACATTTGATTAGATTTTCAAAATTGAGTAATTAAAATTACAATTAACAACTTACGAAGTTATTTCTTTAGGACCTGGTTATGGTTTAATAGAAGTTGTAAAAGATGCTCTATCTATAGATTCTATTAAAAAAAAGCTTAATGATATCTTACAAATAAAGTGTTTGAGTCATTATTTTAAGTATTTAATTTTATAAATTAGATTGAATTCATCTCAGGCTATGATATCCAATTTCTTAAACAGTTTAGTTGCATATAGCTTAGTCTGTTATTTTTTATAAATTAAAGATAGACATAATGGAAATATTTTATTACATAGGGATGGTAATATTGTACATATAGATTTTGGATTTTTCTTATCTAGTGCTCCTAAAGGTAATTTAGAAAAAGAAGTGCCCTTTAAATTAACAGAGGAATATGTAGAAATATTGGGTGGATATGATTCTAATTTGTTTAAGAGATTTAGAAAAATGTTCTTTGAAGGTTTTAAGGCTATTAGAAGACATAAAGATAAGATTATATTGTTAGTGAAAATGATGGAGAATTCCAGTTTAAATTGCTTTAAAGAAAATACTTTATTAAATTTGGAGAGGAGATTCTTACAAGATGATTTATCTGATACTTAATTGTATGTGCAATGTTAAAAGTATATATTTATATTAATTATAATAGATTAATAGATTTGAGTAGAGGTAATTGGAGGGCTAATTGGTATGACAAATATTAATACTATTTTTAAGGAATTATGTATTGAATAAAATTAATTTTGCATTTTATCATTCTAATTTATTAATTTAATATTAAGATCTAATCTATAAAGAAGTATAAGTTATTTATAAATTTAATTGTCTAATCTATTTTTATAATAATAGATTAAGTGTTAAAGAGAAATTAAAAATTTTTATTTTATTAATGATATTATAATGAAGAACTAAAAATAAAAATAAAAATTGCTAGATTTCTATTATAAATAATAATTTGATTTGAATAAACTTATAATGTTTGAATTCAGAAATGGCTGATATTTTATCTATTTTCATTACACTGTTACAATAAATAAATAGATTACCAATTTGATATCAAAATATATATAATTTTTTAAACATTTTGGTTTATTCAAAAATAATCAAAATTATATATCTATTCTACTTTATGATAAAATATAACTTAAACTAATAATTCAAAAACTAACTCAATATATAATTTTACATTTTCATAAAATGAATTTGAAAATAAAAATTTATGAAATCAAAAAAGGAATAGTTTTAAGCTTATATCAACAGATTTTTAGTTTCTGCTCATTTTTCGATATTAATTCAATTAAATGCATTTATTTTACTATCATATTCATTTATTAATCTAAATACTTAAGTTATCCTTAATATAAAATAAAATTATAACTTTAAATTCTCTTTTTTGTCAAAGTTGAATTAATTGAAAAACAATATAAAATTAATATAAATAGAACAAAATTTAGAGTAATCCATAAATTTTTAATATCTATATTTGCAATACTATCATTTTCCATAGAAATTGTTTCTAAAATTCTTTATTGTAAATATATCACAACTTTTTTTTGTATCAATTCAAATCTCCTTAATCATTTAATAATGGATATAATTAATTAAAATGATTGAGCTTATCTAAACAATTAGAAATTATCTAATAAATACTATAATTATCTTTTAAGACTCTAACTCTAACATTTAATATTTTTTTTGAATTTCTTTAGTATTATTTAATAATATGATTTTTAATTACATCGATATACTTTTTTCAATCAATTCTATGGTTACTTTATTTCTCAATTATTTTTAGCAAAATACTTGTTTGAAAATATACATATTTAAATAATCATAATTTTAATTTATCATTAAATCATGATTGCTCTAACAATAATACTAAAAAATTAGATATTTATAGACAATCTTATTGGTACAATTAATGATTCTATAAATCNAATAGATTAATAGATTTGAGTAGAGGTAATTGGAGGGCTAATTGGTATGACAAATATTAATACTATTTTTAAGGAATTATGTATTGAATAAAATTAATTTTGCATTTTATCATTCTAATTTATTAATTTAATATTAAGATCTAATCTATAAAGAAGTATAAGTTATTTATAAATTTAATTGTCTAATCTATTTTTATAATAATAGATTAAGTGTTAAAGAGAAATTAAAAATTTTTATTTTATTAATGATATTATAATGAAGAACTAAAAATAAAAATAAAAATTGCTAGATTTCTATTATAAATAATAATTTGATTTGAATAAACTTATAATGTTTGAATTCAGAAATGGCTGATATTTTATCTATTTTCATTACACTGTTACAATAAATAAATAGATTACCAATTTGATATCAAAATATATATAATTTTTTAAACATTTTGGTTTATTCAAAAATAATCAAAATTATATATCTATTCTACTTTATGATAAAATATAACTTAAACTAATAATTCAAAAACTAACTCAATATATAATTTTACATTTTCATAAAATGAATTTGAAAATAAAAATTTATGAAATCAAAAAAGGAATAGTTTTAAGCTTATATCAACAGATTTTTAGTTTCTGCTCATTTTTCGATATTAATTCAATTAAATGCATTTATTTTACTATCATATTCATTTATTAATCTAAATACTTAAGTTATCCTTAATATAAAATAAAATTATAACTTTAAATTCTCTTTTTTGTCAAAGTTGAATTAATTGAAAAACAATATAAAATTAATATAAATAGAACAAAATTTAGAGTAATCCATAAATTTTTAATATCTATATTTGCAATACTATCATTTTCCATAGAAATTGTTTCTAAAATTCTTTATTGTAAATATATCACAACTTTTTTTTGTATCAATTCAAATCTCCTTAATCATTTAATAATGGATATAATTAATTAAAATGATTGAGCTTATCTAAACAATTAGAAATTATCTAATAAATACTATAATTATCTTTTAAGACTCTAACTCTAACATTTAATATTTTTTTTGAATTTCTTTAGTATTATTTAATAATATGATTTTTAATTACATCGATATACTTTTTTCAATCAATTCTATGGTTACTTTATTTCTCAATTATTTTTAGCAAAATACTTGTTTGAAAATATACATATTTAAATAATCATAATTTTAATTTATCATTAAATCATGATTGCTCTAACAATAATACTAAAAAATTAGATATTTATAGACAATCTTATTGGTACAATTAATGATTCTATAAATCTTTTCATAAGTTCGAATTTGTATGATGACTTTATTTAACATATTTTTATCAATTAAGGATGTTAAGATTATCTGAGTGAATATTAAATAATCGAATTATATATTAATGCTTATTTCTTAAAGACAACCACTCATTTAGTTAGATGATTTTATGTCATTTTTGGGAAGTTAATGGATAAAGTTAAATTATTTGAACTAAACTTAATCAATCGATTGCCAGAATCATTTTGTAAATTTGATTGACCAAAACAAAACAAGAATCAAAATTGATTAGGAACAATTAGCTAAGCTCGAGATGTCTAATCATAAAATAA